CCCCAAAACCCCAAAACCCCAAAACCCCAAAACCCCGGGGAGAATAGGCTAAATTGAGGATTTGTGAATAAGTGGGGGATTAGGTCTGACCATTTTTGTGTGGAAAATTTGGAGTCATGACTGGGACTAGTGGAGAGGGTTTTCTGACTGGGCTTTCGAAGGTGGCTCATTTGGAGGCTTGAGAGGGTTCTTCGGTGCGGGAGGTCCTGGGGTGGGCTGAATTTGGGTTTATTGAGTTTAGTGTTTTGGGCATTTTATGGACCTTTATTTCTCTAATAAAGATTATTATAGAATTGTATGAATTTGGGAGGAATGATTGACTTACTGAGGATATTTTACCAGATCCTTGGCTCTCATTCTGTATATTTTTAATCTTTTCCGCTCAGCTTGTTTATTTTTAACTGAATGAGAAGCTATATTTAAATATTTCAAATTCCTAGAGGCCTGGCTTACATATTTTCGAGTATTTCTGAGGATTATAAGTGATGTAGCTCTGATAAGCAGATTTGGATGCATTAGGCGCATGTATCTGATGCTTCGACCTTGCTACGTCAACACTATGACCCATAATGCTATTTTTATCTACACTAGGCTCAGTTTCCACTCTTTCTCTATCATTACCCTCCTCTAAAGTCCACATTAATAACTTATACTAGAAAGTGGGATGAATTTACCTGATTTTGTACGAATGGAAGGTCTATATTCCTTCTGAGTAGTCTTTGGCCTAGCTTTTGGGATTTTAAAAGCCGGTTTTAAGCATCTCTTTGGGATCATAAGAGCTGATTTGAGTAGTTTTGGAGCAATCGGCTGGCTCTGAGGTTTAGAAGCAGATCTTGAAGTTTGAGAAGGATTTTGGCTTTTTATAAGGTTTTTGAGAGTTTTGTATGGTGTAAGCTTTGAGGGGTGCTCCCCCGAGGTTTGAAGAGCTTCTGGTCAAGGATTTTGTACTTTTTGGTAGAATTTTTTGCGGAGTTTTTAGGGCGAAGTTTTATGATTTCTCTTGGTGTTTTTCTGGTACTTTTGAGGCTTAAGGTTTTGTTTTGTAGTTTTCTCTCTTTGAGTTTTATTTTTAAAATTTTCTCTTTTGAAGTTTTCTCTTTTGAAGTATTACTTTTTAGAGTTTTAGTCCTTGGAGTTTTAGTTTTTGGAGTTTTAGTTTTTGGAGTTTTATATCTTGGAGTTCTATTTCTTGAAAGTTTATTTCTTGAAAGTTTATTCCTTGGAGTTATATTTCTTGGAGTTATATCTCTTGGAGTTATATCTCTTGGAATCTTATCTTTCAACATTTTTTCTCGTGATGTATCCCGTTTTGAAAGCTTCTACAAGATTACCAAAAGCTTAAAAATTATTAAACCAATCCAGACCAAATTCACCCAAAACCCCAACCCCCTATCACCTCTCCTACCAAGAAACAACCTCCTCCCTCCCACCTAGAACCTCCTAATAACCCTCTTTTGCCCAAAATCCCCTCCTTCACCCCCTTAAAATCCCTCACCTCCCTTACCAATAAACCTCCCAGACCCCTCTCTCCCGCTGTCATGCCCAAACCTCGGTAACTCCAAGCCCATTTCCCAAAACTCCACGGCTACAGCCATTGCAGTCTCCCTTCAGAAAGTTACCCACAGAGATTTAAGCATAAGGAGCACATGTGAAGAAAGAAAAGTGAAATTTTGATTGGGCAGAGTTCAAGGATTTTTGTGAAGAAAATTGAGGATTTTGGGGAGTTTGATAGAGAAGTAGGATGGAGTGCTTACTTTTGAAAATTCGGGTTTAAGCTTCTTGATCTTTGGTTTATTTAAGTTTTTTCTTGCTGTATTTGAGGTAGGTTTGGAGAGTGTTTTGGTGTGTAATTTGCGTGCCCTTTTTGAGTATATGTACAGATTTATTTTGAATGGATCCCTGTGATATTAAAAAAAGAATTACTGTGTTTTTGCTCTAAAAGTTAGAAAATAAGTTACCTTAAACGATCTGTTTCTAGTTTTAGCTATTTTACAAACTCCAATTATGTCCTGATCGCTACTAGCTTTATGGGACTTGAGGGCTGAGCCTGAAAGATAAGGCCGGACCCCAAGAGTTTGGGATGTCAAAGGGGTCCCCAAGTCTGTGGAAAAAGATGGTTCTGGGAAGCAGGGCTGGGCATCTGAAGTATATAGGGATTTACAATCCGATAATTTTGCCTCGTTGATGTCTGGATGATCGGAAATGAGAGAGCTGTTCCTACTACCTAGGTCAAAATCTTCTTCAGAGGTGTCGAGGTAGCGCCGGTTTTCTTTCTTTTTGGAAATAGATTTAGTGTCGCTGATCTTGAATGGGTTGATTACGATGTTTTCTTGCTCTATAGAGGAAGTAAATTTAGAATAGTTATGGTGTTTTATTAAATTATTTAAAAGAATGATCATTTTACTCAGAGTTTTTGTGTGATCTATAATTGTATAGAAGATTTCTTGGGGCTCTGATAATGATTCACAACATTAGCCAGTGCTTTTCTGGTAGGATTAAGGTGATTCAATTGATTCTGGGCTAGAAAGGGATTAGATTTATTTATTTCTGGAGTTTTTATTGAATTTATTCACAATGATGGCGAGTATATCCGTTAAAATTCCTGATTAAAAAATCCACTTTCCGAAAAACCACTAATATCACTAAAGTTATAAACTATCTAAACTACAATGACTTACTAGGATCTACAAACCTCTCAACCTCCTTAAAGCTAGGTGTCTCGGATAATAAATTCTTCCGATCTGCAATTTGAGCATACTTTTGCTTTTGAGGCTCCATTTCAATATAATATTATTCCTTTGGGGTTTTGGGGTTTTGGGGTTTTGGGGTTTTGGGG